TAATTAAATTCTGGAGAAATGAGCTTAAACATACATTGACACATGCGGAAAACTTAAAAAACATCGCTCCAACATCAGATAATTCTTTCAAAAACTGAACGAATTCTCTAAAGAGGACAAAAACACACAGAACCAAAAGCAATCCTATACTTTACTCTTGAGTTCACAGAAAAAAGGGCAAGGCATCCCCGTTTGCTCCAAAGTTATTTCCCAGCCACATCAGTACAAAAGAAGATAAATACTATTAAAGACTTCATATTATGATTTTAATGACGCAAAACAAAATATTTATGCTGAAAATATGTAACAACGTAGAGACAATTGTTAAAATTAAATAACTAATCAATTGGTTTAAAATGAGGTTTAAGACTAAATCTTCCAAGGCATTGAACCACGATCATATGAGACCAACCGATGGACTTGAGAGCAAACTTGTTGCTCACCAACAATATCTCCCACAACATGATACTCTTGTGATTCGAATCCATACAACCCTTAATTATGAAGTCACTTGTTAGATTAAAGTTTTAACTATATCATCTAAAAAACAGTTGGTGTCCAACTAGGCAAGACTAAACCTTTTTGGGCATTCAACACCATCAATTGAGAAACCTAACCCATTAGCATAAGAACAGCCTTGTCACTCTCTAATAACAATAAAAAAACAAGACAATCCAAATAATTCCCTGCGTATAGAGAACTAATCACAGAAATGATACAAGTGTTGAGTTGGCAGCACTTGTATAGTGCATTTTCTGTGTTTGTTGTGCCAAAAACCAATGAAAAATTGCCAAGTGTCCATTTGTATGAATTTTGTCAAACTTTTTCAGTACGAATAGCATTAAAAAAAAAAAAAATAATAACTAACTGTATTCAGGTGCCTCCTCTTGGTAAAGTCTTGGATATTTTATATGGATAAAATATTAAAGAAAGCTCAACAAAGTAGTACAGAAACTTATAAATAAACAAAAAAATGAAAAATGAAAAAATGAAAGCATAGAATGAAAGCACGAAAACTCGATAAAATATGAACAAACTTTTGAATCTTACACGGACAGAATAATCAACTTGATCAAAGAAAACTTTTTAATAAGGAGATAAATACTATTACCACAGTATAATAAAGACTTCATATTATGATTTTAATAATGCAAGACAAAATATTTATGCTGAACA